GTCATATTACATAGAGAAAGTTCAAGTAATCAGATGTTACCCAACACCTCTTTCTGCCATTAAATCTACAACTTCCTCCATCTGCATCTACTTTTTTACAGTAGTGTTACACTGTTGCAATAAAATTTCAACTGTCACCTGTCCTTTTTTCCAAATTACTCAACTTTAGGATTCTACGCCCTCATGTCAAAGTTTTTCTCTCTCCTGATGCCCACAGAGGCTCTGGTGGCATAGTGATCACACGTGGGGCTGCGTACAGCAAGGTCGGCAATTCGAAATCACCAGCACCTTCTCAGGAGGAGGAGGGGCTTTCTACTCCCATAGAGAGTTTCCATCTCAGAAACCCACAGAGGCAGTTCTCCGCCCCATCGGGTCACTGAGTCGGAATCGATTCAGTGCAGTGCTTGGGTGAAACACCATGTCTAAATGGCACCTCTTCTAGCTCCCATCCTATTTCTCTTTCCCCTTCTCAGCAAAACTTCTTACAAGAATTGGCTGCGTTGGCTACCTGTGTTTTCCCACCTTTCTTCGATTTGTCTAATGGGGCTTCTATTTTGTCACTCCCTTGAAACTGCTCTTGTCAGGTATCAGTAGCTACATTGCCAGATCCACAAATCATCTTTCTGTCCTGGTCTTGCCTTCTGTATGTTTCAGCGGTATTCGATACATTACTCTATACTTGGACTAATGTATATATTTTTGGCGTAGCTAACACATTTGTCTTTTCTTTTTCCTCTTCTCTTAATTGTCATTCATTCTCAGTCCTTTTGCACTCCCTGCCCCCCCCCCTGCTGTGTACTACAGGGCTAGTACACACGTACTGACCTCACGTGCTGCTAGTCTCATCTCTGAGCAGCTGGACGGAACTTAAAACTTCAAGGAGATGATGTCACTCCTTGATTAGAAGGCCTGCTGTACTCTCTTCACATATTTGGAATAGAACCCTAACTCTCTACCCAAGCTTCCAAGACATGGCATCATTGGACTTTTTGTCCCCTCTGTCACCCACCTCCTCCACTTTCCCTTCCCCTCACTCCTCCCACTTTAGCCAAGCTGTTTCCATGCGCAAGTCTCTTGTGCTGTGCTTCCCTTTCCTCTTCTCCCAGGATTTGGTTTTTGTTTTTAATCATTTTATTAGGGGTTCATACAACTCTTAACACAATCCATACATCATCCATTGTGTAAAGCACATTTGTACATTCGTTGCCTTCATCGTTCTCAAAACATTTGCTCTCCACTTAAGCCCCTGGCATCAGCTCCTCATTTCCCCCCCTCCCTCCCTGCCCCTCCTCATGAACCCTTCATAATTTCTAAATTATCATTTTGTCATATTGTACACTGTCCAACGTCTCCCTTCACCCACTTTTCGGTTGTCCATCCCCCAGGGAGGAGGTTATATGTAGATCCCTGTAATCAGTTCTCTCTTTCCACCCCACTCTTCATCCACCCTACCTGTATTGCCACTCTCACCACTGGTCCTGAGGGGATCATCTGTCCTGGGTTCCCCGTGTTTCCAGTTCCTATCTATACCAGTGTGCATCCTCTGGTCTAGCCAGATTTGTAAGGTAGAACTGGGATCATGATGGTGGGGGTGGGGGGAGGAAGCATTTAGGAACTAGAGGAAAGTTATATGTTTAATCATTGCTATACTGTACCCTGACTGGCTTTTCTCCTCCCCACGACCCTTCCATAGGGGATGTACAGTTGCCTACAGATGGGTTTTGGGTCCCCCCTCCGCACTCCCCCTCATTCACCATGATATGATTTTTTTGTTTTTTGATGCCTGATACCTGATTCTTTTGACACCTCATGAACACAGGCTGGTGTGCTTCTTCCATGTGGGCTTTATTACTTTTAAGCTAGATGGCCACTTGTTTACCTTCAAGCCTTTAAGACTCCAGACGCTATATCTTTTGATAGCCAGGCACCATCAGCTTTCTTCACCACATTTGTCTTCAGTGATCTGTTCGGCACCTCGTGATCACACAGGCTGGTGTGCTTCTTCCATGTGGGCTTTGTTGCTTCTCAGCGAGATGGCCGCTTTTTTATCTTCAAGCCTTTAAGACCCCAGATGCTATATCTTTTGATAGCTGTCTCCCAGGTTTTTACCTGGCTCACTTGTTTACACCCTCCACAGCGGTTCCTCAGCTATTTCTTTCCTGGCCATTGTCACATCCAGCACCTCATTTCCATTGCCTGCTTTGGTATTGTTTTCAGCACACCATTCACTCTCTGAAAGAGCCCCTAGGGCTCATTGGTTGAGTGCTTAGCTGCTCTACAGGAGAAAGACATGGCAGTCTGCTTTGGAGTTCTTCCACCCTGTCCTGTAGGGTTGCTGGGAGTTGGAATTAGCTTGATAGCCATGTGTTTGGTGTTGGTTTCATCACTGTCTGAGACACTTGTTTGTCAATGTTACCTTGTCTGCCTCCCTCTTCCAATAATGTCTGCGAGGGCCGGGACCTTGGTGGTCTTGTTGTATTCTAGTCTCTTCCTTAGAACTGCATGCATGGCACTTAGTAAATAGCAGCTGGATGGATAAATTCTGAACATTTAATAATTTGGTTGAGAATGCATACTGCTTTGAGATTCTACTGTGTACAAGTATATGGCTTCACCATCATTACTAGCAGCTGGAATTTTATTAGGTTACCCTGAGTCGTATTAGTTTTTCACGAGCTATCTCCTTGTGCTTTGCAATACCAAGGGCTGGCTTCCTAAAGCAAAAGGTTTTCCTACAGCAGGGATTGACAAATGACAGCCTACTTGTCTTTGTATGACCTGGAAACCAAGAATGGTTTTTATAGTTTTAGAGTAGTGGGGAGTAGTGGGGCAGGGAGAATAATATGTGAGGAATTACATACGACTAAACAACATAAAATATATATTATCTGGCCCATTACATGGAGAAAAAGAAAGTTTGCTGACCCTTGCTACTACGTCTTACTCTTCATTGCCTCTCTGGCCCTTGCCAGAACACTTACTGCTCAGTCCATGCCAGTCACGCGAGCTTCTTGCCGGGTCCTAAGATACACTCCACATGCTTGCCTCGGGATCTCGCGTTTGGCATTTACTCTGTCTTCAGTATGTGCAAGGTTGTGCTTACTCCTGTACTACCTTTGCATCTGTTTGAAATGCTACTTTCTTAGTATGGCTTATCTTGAGCATTTTATTTAAAATTGCAGCCCTACCACCCAGTGCCTCAAACCTTATCTCCTTTCTTCTTTTACTCTTCATTTTCATTGAACTTAATGCCATCTGAATTACTGTGTGGTTTGCTTACATTCTTGGTCTTCCCAATAGGCTGTGCACTAAATGAGGCCGAGGGGTTTGTCTGTTTGTTCACTGCCATATTCCCAAAGCTAGTACCTAGCACATTGCAACTTTTATGTAAATATTTGTGGGATTAATGGCAATAGAAACATTCTGAGAGTCAACATTTCTTAATACTTAAAAGCATTCGTCAAGACCTGTAATACTGGAGCACTGTACTGAGAAGCCTTGCCTCAGATCTATGGAGATTATAAAATGAACTCTTTGCCTGAAAGAGCTCAATACTTGTCCGTAAGAACACACATGGGACAAGTTATAATTTCATTATCTTGTCGATTAATAAAGTTTATTATTTATAATATTTTTGTAGATATTGAAAGCCTTTCTAGAAATACTTATTTAATGATTTGTTAATGAGTTTATATTTTATACTGATGTGTTTTTTTTACCCTTTCCCCCTTGGCCTATTATTAATATTAGATTACTAGGAATACACTTTCATAAAAATAAAACCCTTATTTGACGTGACTGTGCTCAGTGCACTAAACGGCAATGGAGATGGACATAACTGACTCCTCTGGCTTCCCCATTGCCGCAGAGCAAGAGTCAAACCTGCCTCCACACTCCCTCCTCCTCTACCTATTCTGACACCAACCATTCCTCCCATGGCACTGGATTTCTGTGCTGGGTTCGATGAATCTGAGACCATACTCATAATCAGGGGTTTATGAGAGAAATTTCATAGTTCACCACTAGTCAGGATCATCAGCAAGCGATCAGGGTCGTCCATAGCAACATCTCTCCTTAGCTAGCAGTCAGATCTCTCAGGTCTATAGCCTCTTGGCCTTATAGGCCAAGAAGTCAGCTTGCCTGTCGCTCTGTCTCACAGTCCCGTAGTCTGGGGCCAGATGAGAAGGTACGGTGCCCGTAGTCGCTGCAGTGCTCCTCCAAGTCTCCGTGTCACAGTCTCGGGCGCCTCTGGTCTTCATGGCCCTGCCGCTTCAGACAGAGTTCTTGGATGAGTCTCAGATTGCTCTTAAAAGGCCAGGGCATGACTTTGATGGAGGTACAGTTGTCTTTTTGCAGACCCTACCCCCCAGGAATACCCTCTTGTGAAGTAGTTTAAAGAAACCTCTAAGGAAACAAAGGATGTGGCTTGATTCACATCCTTTATGGTCAGGATTTAGCCCCACCGCGACCCACTAGCAGAACACCCTCCGCAATGGGATCCTAGCCACAGACAGTTTCTGTAAGGTACTTTATTGACAAGTAGAATGATGACATTCTTATTTTGAAGCAGAATTTAGGTATATGGGTAGAATTGTGAAATGTCATACCTTTTTTAGTGAGCTGAATGTGAAGATGTGTTTAATATACAAGTTATAGACAAATATAGACATAAATAATATGCAAGAGGTAAGGGGTCAAAGTAAACACTGTTTTTATAACATATTAAGAAATTGCAATGCACTATCATCAAAATACATGTTGAAATACAAATATGTTTGTAGTTGTATATGTAGGAACAAATACATCTTCTTTATTTCTTTATAAACAAGTTCCTGCTATTAATGGGAAGGACTCTGGAAGTGCTGAAGGTGTTTTTGCAGCAGGAATGTTTTGTTAGCTTTCAGGGGTTCCTTAGTGTGCCCGTGGTGCCAGTCTATAATAAATGTGTCTTTCCTATGCTTGGATGTGAAAAGCTGTATTTTCCCCTTCTTTGTCAATAGGCAAGTGAAAGACCAGAATAAGAAGGTAGCAAACCTGAAGCACAAGGAGCAGGTGGAGAAAAAGAAGAGTGCACAGATGCTCGAGGAGGCTCGGCGGAGGGAGGACAATCTCAATGACAGCTCCCAGCAACTGCAGGTTAGAACCCCAGGAGACTCTGGAAGGGTCCTGAGAAGAGATTTGAACCACATTGCATGTTGGTTTTCTCTGCCTCTTCCTCTTCTTTGCCTATCTAACCTTGCTTGCTGCCTTCCTTCTGCGCCAACTGTTTAGCAATTAAAGAATGACTTGAATAGAAATGGCAAGGTTTATTTCGCAGCTGACGGCACCGCAGTGCAGGAGAAAGTTTATCTTGATTTGAGTTGATCACACTTGAATGGTAAGTTGAATACCAAGTGGGTTCCATTGACCTTAAGGAGAGTCAGTATGATTGTTTGCCAATTCTATTCATTAAAGTGTTTTACTAATATTTGTCTTGCTTCCGTTTTACATTTTTCTGTCCTCTTCCCTGTATTTCTGCTTCCTTATTTTAAAATTTTAATTTAGAATAATGCATGATTATATGTTACATATCAAGAGTGATACTCAATAACAGTAGTAGGTAGTAGTAGTAGGTACCATATTTGAAACCGGGCTCTGGTCATTCACTGTTTCTTCCCTTCTCTGGAATAATGTGTTCTGCTGGATTTTGCATATGAGGTGAGCGTCTCCATATTTTGCCATGAGGGAACAGACTGAAAGAAAAGAAATTGGATTTCTTGGTTAACCCCAAGGCATGACTTTCTCAGTGGCTAAACCATGGTTTTTAACTAGATCTATTTCCTTTTTTCATTGTCTTGACCATAATATTTCAGAACAAAGGTTTAGATTTTTATATGCAAGCACCATAAACTTGTTGGAATTATCGGAAAGTCCTGAAAATATTGTTAAACTACTGTTAGATTATTTTCCTCTTTATAACTTCTAATTAGATACGATAAATGCCATAATTACATAATCATGAAATCAAAATATTTACCATAAAGGTTTTGAGAATTTATTATCTTGAAGCCTTTTTTTAGGCTTTAAAACAGTTTCATGAAGACCTGACTTTTATATTTATATTTTTATTCCTCTTTTATATAACCTTTTCTAACTATAAAATGAATGTTCCTTATAGAAACCACATAAAGGTCCTCAAATGCACTGACCTTGTGAAAAAGGTAGAGTACCAGTTTACTTCTCGGCTTTGCCAGCACCTGGTATTGGCAGTTTCTTCTGTTGCTGCTTTAAAATTTTCTTTGGGAAAGGTGTTGTGAGAAGGGCATTATCCTCATGCTGAAATAGTTTGTTTTACTCCAATGTTTTTTCTAATTGCATTGAGATTGGCTAGTTTTTCATGGTTTGGATTTCCTTTTGTTTAGTGTTGGGTTTATTTTCCACAGTGACTTTTCCTGCCTGACTTTTTGCTTAGCTTATTGCCATTTTGAGAGTATCTAATTATTTGCTTATAAGTATTTTCAAGTTGTTTTGTGCTTTCATTGCTGTCGTTTTACTCTTCTAAACCGATCTAGAATTTACTTTAAATTATTTTTACGGTATTTTGTGTGGTGTATGATTTATTTTTCTGTATAACTAATAATTTCACTTGAAGATTAATAGGAAATTATTCCATTACTCCCAAGTTTGAATCACCATCTTCATATTTTATGAAATTGTTTAATAGTAGATTCTGTAGAATTTCAACTTCTCTTTTTGCCCTCGGGTCACATTATTTTTTAATTTTAGGACAGACTTTTTTTGTGCCAATGTAAGCCTGTCTTTATGTAAGCTCTTAACTGCACCATTTGTCTCCTCTCCCCCATTTAATGTTTCTGAGACTAGTCTATCTTTGTAAACAGGTGTTAAGATAACAAATCTTATTAAAAAGATTTTCATATTGAGACATATGACAGGCTTTATTATTAACTTATATTTTAGGTATAGAGCTAACAAATGTAGATAACAAATGTTGACTAGTGAATTGGTTTTTCTAAGGTATCTCACTAAGCAATAGCCATGTGCATGTTACACATAAGATGTAATTTTGTAAAATATAGTAAAAAGAGCACTGTACTGCAAATTGGGTTAGTTAATATCTGATCTCAGTTTATTTGTCTTAATTAATAAGCTTTTGTTACTTAGTTTAAACATTTTTTAACAGCCAGGAACATTTTTAGCACCCAGGTTGTAGTCTCTAAGTATGGATGCCAACTAAAAGAATTTCTTTTTTTTTTTACCTCCCTTGAGAAATAATTTTTGTATTTTCCAAGTAATATTGTATACTTTAGCTCTTCTTGTAGTGATTTCTTTAGCTTTTTAACCCAGATTACCTGTAAAATTATAGTTACCTTAACATTAAAAAATTAATCCATATCATCCATTACATTCTTCCACAGATTTTCTAAGATTTCATTTTAATCATTTGTAATAGTTTGTATACATTTATATACACTTGGTTTTTTACTTCATAAGAACAACATATGAGGGAGCATTAAAAAGTTTATAGGAAAATGGAATTAAAAAATAATGAAATTTTTCCACGAGCTTTTAAAGGCCCCCTGTATCATTAACTATTTCCATAAAGTATATATTTTCACAGTGGTTTATATTTAATGCAAAGTTTCAAAGCTTAATAGGTGTTCTTCTTTTGCTGAGGCTATTTATTTTCAATGTTTACTGTATAAATTATTAATTTTCCAAATTGGCTTATTTATTTTGGGAATTCCTCAGGATAAAATTATTGAGTCAAAGTATATGGAATGTTATTACTGTCTCCAAATTTCTGTACAGAGAGGCTGAGCTCAGTTATCATGCATCTGGCAGTGTATTAACATCCCATTTTTGCCCATAGTGACTGAGTCTGTTTATTTTTTTTGCTCATTTCATGCAAATTATGATATCTTCAAGTTGTTTCATTTCTTTAATGAAGTTATACAGTTTTCCAGATAATTTATTTTCTGAAATTCCCTGGCAAATTTTAGTTACATTTCTTATCTATATAAAGAGAATCTGCATATAGTATCTTTGTTGAATTGATAGATCTGTATTTAAGTTGAGTAATGATGCATGTCATATATATGTTTTCCTTTTCAGTTAATTTCTTGTTAATACTGATAGTTAATTTTACTCAGTAAACTTTTCCTTCCTTTTTTTGAAGCTCTCTAATGATCTTGCTTTGTGATTTCAAGCCCATTTTTCATTTATGTCCAGTCTTCAAGTTTATGAATGTATGCAAAAATATTAACTACAAAATCACAGGACCTTTTATTAAACATAAATATGAAAATGTGACCCTATTGCTTCTCTGCATTTCCTTCATATAGGTCTATATTTTTTGAAAGATGATGTTTCATCTCTCTAACCCTTTCCCACTAAGACACTGCCATTGAGTCAGTTTCAACTCATAGCGACCTTAGTGCTGACAAGGAATATTGAAAGTACCATGGACTGCCAAAAAAACCAAACAGGTCTATCTTGAAAGAAGTTCATGCCAAATGTTTGTTAGAAGCAAGGATGGGAAGACATGTGTCAGGAGAAACCAGTCCCTGGAAAAGGCCATCGTACTTGGTAAAGCACAAAACTCACTGCCAACTAGTAGAGTCGATTCTGATTTCAACTCCAACACCTACAACAGAGTAGAACAACACCTACAACAGAGTAGAACAACACTTACACCATAGTAGGACAACACTTACTACAGAGTAGAACAACACTTACACCAGAGTAGAACAACACCTACAACAGAGTAGAACAACACTTACAAGAGAGTAGAACAACACCTACACCAGAGTAGAACAACACTTACAAGAGAGTAGAACAACACCTAAACCAGAGTAGAACAACACTTACACCAGAGTAGAACAACACTTACACCAGAGTAGAACAACACTTACAAGAGAGTAGAACAACACCTAAACCAGAGTAGAACAACACCTAAACCAGAGTAGAACAACACTTACACCAGAGTAGAACAACACCTACACCAGAGTAGAACAACACTTACAAGAGAGTAGAACAACACCTACAACAGAGTAGAACAACACCTGCACCAGAGTAGAACAACACTTACAACAGAGTAGAACAACACCTGCACCAGAGTAGAACAACAC